CACATTTGTTCTTCTGGCCATCCAGGGAATCCGCAGCATCCTTCGCCAACACCACATTTCAAAGGCATCCACCCGTTGCCACATGCAAGGTCCATGTCTCCGACTTGTAGTGGAACACCGAGAACACCAGCTATTTTTATCCCTTCTTGTGTGCGTTTGGATGGTCGCAGATAAGCTCTGATATTTGTTTCTCGTTTCGGGGTTATTCAACCCCGTTGCGAGTACCTTTCTTCTTTCTTCTATCAACTTAAGAGTGCCATCAGAGATCCAATCCTGGTGTTTAACGCGCTCTTTTGGACGTTGTGTGTTCATCAATGATGCCCTAACAATATCTCTGAAGCGAGTCCACATTTCATCTGGGCTGGCCGCCCCTGCACTCCCATCTGGTTCCATTTTCTCTTCCACTTGTCTAGAGAAGGCATTGTTATCAACAATCGGTGATAGTTTATCAGTGGTTGCGTTCTTCCTGTAGACCTTCAGCTTTATTCTGAACTTGAAAACCAATAGTTTATGGTCCGAGTTGCAATCAGCCGCCGGCAGCGTCTTCGCCGATAGTATCGGCGCGGTGATCTCCACCTTTCATCGACCAAAATGTAGTCGATTTGATTTTCGTAGTGTCCATCTGATGAAGTCCAGGTGTACAGCTTCCTTATATGTTGCTGGAAGATCGTATTCGCGATTGTGAAATCATTGTCAATGCAGAACTGGATGAATTTGTCACCCCTTTTTCCGTTCTCCCACGCCATATCTCCCCATTACATTACGAATATGGTCGTCTCTCTTCGTGCATCCCACCTTTGCATTCCAGTCTCCCATGATTATGGTGAGCTTTCGCTTGGAGATTTTTTGGATGGTTGTTTCGAAGGATTCATAGAAATTGGTTATGTCTTCCTCTGTAGCATCAGCTGTCCGCGCGTATACCTGGATGATATTGAGTGCACAAGGCGTAGCTTCAACGCGTACGGACATGACACGATCACTAACCGTGTCATAACCAAGGACCGATCCGGCCAGCTCATTGGATATGATTAGCGCCATGCCGTTACTACTCCTATCCTCATTACTCGAGAAATAGACTGTATAAAAACCGCTCTAAAAATGTCCTCTTCTCCGCCAGTGCGTCTCCGTAATTCCTGCCAGCTCTATGTTACATCTTGTCAGCTCCCTCTTTAATATGTCCAGTTTTCCTGCCTGCCTCAGTCCTTGTACATTCCAGGTCGCAAAGCGGGAAACGGTTCTGCCCTTATGGTTAGACACTCTGGTCGTACATTTTGCATGCGGAGCCCAGTGGTCCACTTCCCCATGCCCGGTTGCCAACTTCTCATTGCCTACCCCGGACGCAGAGCAGCGTCGATTATCAGTTGATCGCCAGATTCACCAAATCCATTCTTTAATGACATAATGACATAGACATAATGCTCATGGGAGAAGTAGTGGGGCAGTAGATTCTGCTGTCTTTCTGCATCGCAGTACTCCAACCGTTGTAGGCTGATACAGCCACGCTCAGAATAGTTTACTTCTAGGCCTTTGCGACGTCTATCGTCTCTGCCCTAGTGTAATACTAATGGCACTGCTGCCCACCATCAGGTTTCGCCATATCTGGCTACCCTTACTTAGTTTGGTGTTGTGTGCCGAAAGACCACAACGTAATAATTATAGGTTAATTAGGCAATAACAATAATAAACATTTAGAAGACCATTAATCGAGGTCACTTCTCGAGAATCCTGTGACAAAAGTTATTTAATTATTAAACAATCAGACGCTGACGCGAGCACTCGTTCTTAGAAGCCCGAGTGTCACTTGTGTCTAAAGTAGGTTAAACAGATCAGCATTTTGGTAACACAATGGATCGATATAGTTCAAGTCTCATTGTGTTCCGAATACTGATCCGTATAAATTAAGGCGGCACACAAGGCGCCGCGGGTTTTTATCAGCAAAATTCCGGACGAAGCACGACACGTCGCGTACACGCGTAATCGCAGTAGTACGGTCGCCGAGTGAGTGAGGTGACAAGTGTAAAACAAAATACCAAATAAAAGTTATTCTATCTATTCAGAAGTGCATAATTATTCTAAACTCTCCGAGCCAAAGCCCCCTTGACCAGCACGGCGAATCCCGAATCTTTACGCAGCGCCTACCGCTACCGAAGTAGGCGCAACATCGGCCTGCAAGTCAATGCAGTTGCCCAGGGTGTGGCCGTCTTGGAGCCATAAGTAAAAGTTGAGTTTCATACGAGGACCAGTTGCTCCGAGTCATTCTTCTCTGGATGTGACCGCTCTTCGCCAAAGGTACTACCTCTGTATCGAGCCCCATACACTTCCATACACTCCCGTAGTACATATAAACCTTTCAAAAAAATCTGTCGTATAGATATATTAAAATTTTTAAAAAAGACTATTCTATATACTTCTTACAAAAAATGTGGTATCAGGAAATGGCACCAAGTGAGACTAAAGAACTATGAAAAAACTTGCACACTATTTCTATAAAACTCTTCTATAAAACTCTTGTACATAAAGCTCTCGTATATATAATTAATTATATTATATACTATATTTTATCATATTTTACATGTACTATACTATATATACTATATATATTATTAGATATACTATATATATTATAAAAATTTTTAATATTTAAAAATAAAAATATTTATTAAAAAACACAAAAAAGCGCTGCTACACCTCAAAGTAATGAAATTAACATGTAGTTTACTGTAGCAGCGCCAAGTTTTTTTGCGTTTTTTAAT